TGGTTTGCACGGTTTACACAAATGAGGGCGGTTTTCATATGATCACTCCTCTCTATATATATATATATAATTATTGCATAAAAGTTATGTGTATATCTTAAAAGCATGATAACTTGTAAAGATATAATATGAAATGTAATATGAACAAGCAATGTAATATGTTTCTTGTTGGTTCACCAACTAATAAATTATATTTATATTTTGATGGTTGATTGATGAATATCAAATAATTGTAAAGACACTTAAATAGATTTTTCAAGATGATGTTTGATAGGGACATAATTGACATTTCACTAGTAAATTATAGACATTACGTGTCGAACGAAATCGTGTGTCAATAAAACCAACTCATAAGACGTTAAGAATATTATTATATGTTTTAAAATAATAAAGCGGTTGATAAACGACGATAAATTCTAGTAACATCTAAGAAAACCATAAGAAACAACTAAAACAAGACAACTTTTTTCGGTTTTTTCTAATGAAATTGCGTTATTTTTGTTGTTTAAATTAGAGATGCATAAAAAAGTTCTGAACCTAAAAAGCCCAGCTAGAAAAAAATCAGATCCCAACGAGCCCGAGCCTAGGCAAAGCCAAAAAGGCAGATATACGTTTTCAAAACCTGATAAAATTGGGACCCGAAAAGTTAAGACGAACTTTTTCGATACTTTTTACCAAACCCCGGAACCAAAAAATCCCAACCCGAAAAACCCTGACCCTAAAAGCCTTGCCAAGAAAACCTGATCTCGCCAGAGTCTTTTTAGAGCCCGAAAAGATCTGAAAAATCCCCGTCAAACCCCTTTTCTTATGCCGAAAGTTTGACAAAACCGAAATACGATAACGTAAAGTACAATTTAAATCAACAAAAAATTATTCCCTTTTTGTTCTTATCTAAATTATCCCAATTTGGAGTCATGGTTGCACATGTAACTTGAATTATTTGATACGTTTTTTAGGTGGAAAAGTTGGTTTTTATTTCTCTATTTTATTATATCATGTATTCTTTAATTTAATCTTTGAGAAACCGGTAGCAGTGATTGTAGGGATCACCGAGCCACAAGTCCACCACCAGATTAGCATCATTACTAGCACCACTGCAACAACCGTCGCCACCACCACCGCCACCGCCACGGCGGCACCAACGAAAAGTAGACTCATCGCCAAACGATCAAGTAGTTTTAAGCAGACATCGGTCATTAATCCTCGAAGGATTCTCTTCTTCTTTGCCACCCTGTAAGAATCTCGTATCGATCATCACTTGTGAATAATGTATATAAAGATTAGTAGACCACGTATTTATGTGCCCCCGAGATCATATAAACCATATCCGTGTGTGGGATTTGGCGAGTTGATTTGGTTTTATTTGAACTAACAGTGTCAATGTGTATCAACTTTGACAGGTCAAGCATGGGAACAATCCTACTGATATACTTCACTCTCTCCATGGCCAGGCACAATGGAGACAACAATTTGCTCGATGAATAGTGACTGAGGAAAAACAACTCCGTAAAACTACGATACACAAGTTGCGAATCTAACATACCCTTCGTTAATGGTGTTTGCATGCTCTGCGATTTTCTCCTTTATTTTTCCTTTCATGGCTGCCTTTGTTCATACATACAAAAGAAACAGACAAGGATGAAGATTACTGCGATGATGGTGGGGGGTTTATGCATACCTTTTCTTGATGTTTTGTATATAATGGAAGAACAGAAAGTGCAATTGTTTTAGTTCATTCATCTCTTTCTGTAGTATCTACATTTGCAGAAGAGAATAACACCCAAAACTCCATACACTACTAGAAAACTGACCATTTCCGGCGCCGTTTCCGGTTGACGAAATCCGCCTGTAAATTACCGGCGGATTTCCGGCGGACACAAAAAAAGTCAACGTTTTATTGACTACCAACGATTTCCGACGGATTTCTTAAGTACTCAGTTTAATCTTGAATTTACATCTAATTTTTTTTTTAAATTAACATTTCCGGCGGATTTCCGACGGATTTCCGGCATATAATTAAATAATTTTTCTAAAAAAATTTACCATTTCCGGCGGAAAATTAAATAATTTTAAAAAAAATAACAATTTTCCGGCGATTTCCGGCATATAATTAAATAATTTTTCTAAAAAAATTTACCATTTCCGGCGGAAAATTAAATAATTTAACAATTTTCTGGCGGATTTCCGAGGGATAATTAAATAATTTTTCTAAAAATTTTTACCATTTCTGGCGGATTTCCGGCGGAAAATTAAATAATCTTTAAAAAAAAGAATTAACAATTTTCCGGAGGATTTCCGGCGGATAATTAAATAATTTAAAAAAAAGTAACAATACGATCGTAATGGACTTTAATGGATCGTATTGTGTTTTAATGAACCGTATTGGGCTTTAATGAATCGTATTGGGCTTTGATGGACCTTAATGGGCATTAATGAACCGTATTGGGCTTTAATGAACCGTATTGTGCTTTCATGAACCGTATTGTGTTTTAATGGACCGTATTGGGTTTTGATGAACCGTATTGGGATTTAATGTAACGTATTGGGCTTTGGTGGAACGTATTGGGCTTTGGTGTAACATATTGGGCTTTAATGAACCGTATTGTGCTTTAATGGAAGTATTGGGCTTTAATGAACCGTATTGGGCTTTAACGGACCTTATTGGGCATTAATGGACCATATTGGGCTTTAATGAACCGTATTGGGCTTTCATGAACCGTATTGGATTTAATGGACCGTATTGGGTTTTAATGGATCGTATTGGGCTTTAATGGACCTTATTGGGTATTAATGGATCGTATTGGGCTTTAATAAACAGTATTGTGCTTTCATGAACCGTATTGAGATTTAATGGACCGTATTGGGTTTTAATGGATCGTATTGGGCTTTAATGGACCTTATTCGGTATTAATAGATCGTATTGGGCTTCAATGAACCGTATTGTGCTTTCATGAACCGTATTGTGTTTTAATAGACCGTTGGGCTTTAATGAACCGTATAGGGATTTAATGGACCGTATTGGGCTTTAATGAACCTAATTGGGCTTTCATGAACCGTATTGGGATTTAATGGACCGTATTGGGTTTTTAATGGATCGTATTGGGCTTTAATGGAAATATTGGGTTTTAATGAACCATATTGGGCTTTAATAAACCGTATTGGGCTTTAATGAACCGTATTGGGTTTTTATGAATCGTATTGGGCTTTAATAAACCGTATTGGGCTTTCATGAATCGTATTGGGCCTTAATGGAAGTATTGGGCTTTCATGGAATGTATTGGGCTTTGGTGGAACGTTTTGGGCTTTAATGGATCGTATTGTGTTTTAATGAATCTTATTGGATATTAATGGACCGTATTGGGCTTTAATGAACCGTATTGTGCTTTCATGAACCGTATTGTGTTTTAATGAACCGTTGGGCTTTAATGAACCGTATTGAGATTTAATGGACCGTATTGGGCTTTAATGAACCGTATTGGGCTTTCATGGACCGTATTGGGATTTAATGGACCGTATTGGGTTTTAATGGATCGTATTGAGCTTTAATGGAAGTATTGGACTTTAATGAACCGTATTGGGCTTAAATAAACTGTATTGGGCTTTAATGGATTCGTATTGGGCTTTAATGTAACGTATTGGGCTTTAATGAACCGTATTGGGCTTTAATAGACCGTATTGGGTTTTAATGGATCGTATTGGGCTTTAATAAACCGTATTGGACTTTCATGAATCGTATTGGGCTTTAATGTAAGTATTGGGCGGTCATGGAACGTATTGGGCTTTGGTGGAATCGTATTGGGCTCTAATGATAATGATAATAATAATAATAATAATAATAATAATAATAATAATAATAATAATAATAATAATAATAATAATAATAATAATAATAACAATAATAACAATAATAAT